ATTATAATTGTCCCATTCTTTTCTCTCTTTTATTCCCTCCACCCTGTACCCATCCTCCCCCCAGCACTCCCTCCCCTTAGTTCATGTCCATGGGTCGTACATAGAAGTCCTTTGGCTTCTCCATTTCCCATATTATTCTTTACCTCTCCCTGTCTATTCTGTACCTACCATTTATGCTTCTTGGTCCCTGCACTCTTTCCCCAATCCCGCCTTCCCCTTCCCCACCAAAAACCCTCCACATGGTCTCCATTTCTGTGAATCTGTTCCTGTTGTAGTTGTTTGCTTAGTTCATTTTTGGTTTTGTTTTTTTAGGTTCAGTTGTTGATAGTTGTGAGTTTGTTGTCATTTTACTGCTCATATTTTTGATTTTCTAAATGTTCTGAAATTAGGTAGTGGTGATGGTTGCAGAATTCCGTGAATATACTAAAAGCCACCAAATTACATACTTTTATTGGGTGCGCTTTAAGGCATGTGAATTATATATCTCAATAAAATTATTTTTTAACTTCTTTTTATCCTCACCTGAGGACACTTTTCCATTGCTTTTTGGAGAGAGGAAGGGAGAGAGAGAAACATCAGTGTGAGCAACATCCATGTGAGAAAAGCACCGATTGGTTACCTCCCGTACACACCCAGCCTGGGGATCATTTGTGCCTGGACCAGGGGTCAGACTGGAAAGCTAGGCATGTGTCCTGACAGGGAATTGAACCCATGACCCTTTGGTTATGGGATGACACTCCAACAAATGAGCCACATGGACTAGGGTAAAGCTGTTATTTTATTTATTTAGTTAGTTATTTAAATTTCAGGCTCTGCCTCTTCTTGTAGGCTCCGGGCCTCCTTGAGTACAGGGAAAGCATCTTTTCTTTGGGTCTACACTCACATGGAAAGTCACCAACACTGCTCTCGCCAGAACAAGGGAGGTTCTGCCTCGGGCACAGCTTCCAACTCCTCTCTCTGGGATGCAGAGTCTGCCTACAGCCTCACCTCTTCGAAGATCCCAGCTTCCATGAACAGGGGGCCAGCTTCTTTAGGATGGCGGGTTGGCTGTGCTAGAGAAAAGAAAGACTAGTCCCAGTGGAGATTCAGCGTGCATGTGCTGAAGGCAGCAATGAGATGAATGAAGCAATGACTGGCATTACTCGCCAGAATGGTGAGCCAGCTGGGACAGAACCTGGGGTTCTATCTCTGACTTAGAGCCCCTTTTACTGGGCAGCTTCCCTTCATTTCCTGGGCTTTGCCTGCTCTCCCTGAGGTGCACTCAGATGAGGTGACAGGTGTGGAGACAAATGGGCGCAAAACCCTTGCCTTTGCCAGCCCTGTGGGCCTTCTCACACAGCAAGAGGGGAATAAATGACTCGAATGTTCCTCTGGGCTCAGGCAGTTATTTCAATGGGATTCCACCCTCAGCTGCCAGGAGCGAGTGAGACAGTTCCTTTGGACCCCTCCCCCGTGGGTCCTGGATGGAACTGGATGAAAGCTTACAGCCTGTTTGACTGAGGGAAGCCGCTGCCAGTCGGGCCACCAAAAACCAGCTCACAGTAGAAGCAAAGAGACCCTCATTTCACCAGAGAGCATGGGAGGTCTGCTGTCTCTGAAATGTTTCCAGGACAGAGGAATCTTTGTGCAGGCTCCAGAATGGGCTCAGCCTTCCCTGGGGTTTGCCGCCCAGTGCAGAAGATCTGGGATCAGCGTTGTGGGCAGCCAGCAACCAGTGGGTGAGCAAACTGCCCAGGGCGCTGTGAGAGGCACCCTGGGGGAGAGAGGGCGCCTAGCTCCTCTGGTTTGCTCAAAGCCCACAGCCCTGGTGGGGATGCCGGGGGCAGGGTAAGGGGCAGTAAGGTAGGCAGGCAATGCTCACAGACAGCCCATCACTTGGGGAGGGACCAGGGCAGACGGGCTGTGAAGATGACTTTGGATTCTTGGCTTAGCAGTGGTGAGCTTGGGGGGGTTTCCTGTCCTCCCATTCAGGGCATGAGAAGTCGAGGACATAATGTGTGGGAGGCACTTGCGCCCTGTCAGGAGTGTCACAGGCACCCACAGATCTTCTCTACCATCCCAGTGTTCAAATCACACCCCAGACTGGTCCAACTTACCTCCTGGCCTCTCACAAGCCGTGGCTTTGCCACTCCGTGGTCACAGCCCGATTTCCACACCTCTACCTCTGCTCGCTCATGTCCCCTGTCCACTCTCCTGGGCAGGACAGACCACCACAGGAGCTGAGTGGCAGGGCTACGTGGTCCAATGGCCACCTTCAAACCCTCCTGCCCCTTCTAACTGGCCAAGGACCTCAAGGAAGTCACTCCCTTCTGTCTGCCTTCTCCTCCTCAAGCAAGGCCAACAATTCCTCCACTGGAAGGTCCTGGTAAGGATTAAATGAGACACACAGGAGAGAAGCAGCACTTTGGGCAACACTGCAAGGCCCACAGTAAGCTCACTGCTGTCAGGGACTTCCCTCCCGGCATTTCCTCAGGCACCTGTCATGTGTGTCATGCCCTTGGAATTGACCATAAGGCCCATTTTAAAGTCTGCACATCACCTGTCCCACACAGGACTAAGGCCATCCCACAGGCAGGGTCAAGCCTTCTTTGACCGGCCAATGCGTGCCCATGGCTGATTTGTCACCTGGCTGACCTGACCTCCCCCTCCTGGAACTGGTGGGGAGGGAGGATAAGGCAGTTTAGTTGTGGGGATTCTTGGCTTCACCCTGTGTCCCCCAGTGAGGTTCTTAACCTGGAATCCACGCCCCTAGAGGTCCAACAGACTTCAGGGGATTAATAAATCCCCTCAACCGCATGCTACATTTTGTGTGTGAGAGAGACACTGTACGTTTTGGAAAAGAAATTCCTTACCTTTCACCAGATGCTCAGAAGAGCCTGCATTTTCCTTCTTGGCTTTATTTTCTTAAAAGCACAAATCCCATTATTTACAGTATTTGTTTACTGTGTCTCTAACCCTAGAAAGTCAGCTTCAGGAGCACTCGCCTTGTTCATGGTTACACCTGCAGAGCCCCAAATGGAGCCTAGCACACAGCTGGCTCTCCTCAGATTCTTTAAAATGAATGAATAAGGGAGGTACTCTGACCCAAAGGTACAGACGCTGCCCTGAAGCTGGGCTCTGGGCAAGCCCCAGCCAGCCTGCGGGGTCCCCCTTCCTCAGGGCAGGCCCAGGGCTGGCGGGCAGCTGGACTGGTTCTCCCGGAACAAGGACTCTTCGGGGAACGGGCTCAGAGTGCTCAGATCGGATCCACTTGAGAGGAACCACAGTCAGGGGCTTCTGCTCTATTGCCTATTGCTGTGTGACAATTTTCCCCAAAAGCTAGTGGCTTAAACAATTTTACTGTCTTTCATGATTTTGTGGAGAGGAATTCATGTGAGTATTGCTTGGCCGGGTGATGCTTGTGTCTCACATGGCACCAACTGACATCACTTGATGCCACTCAGCTGCTGGATGGGCTGTTCCTGAGGGTCCGGGGGTGGGGGGCTTCCCTCACAGGCGTGGTGACCTGGTGAGGCGGTCAGAGGGCCGGGCTCAGCAGGGACAGCCTCCTGGAGCGCCTGAACCCTGGTCTCTCCCACATGGCAGCCTCTCAGGAGAGTCAGACTTTCGCAAGGCTTGGAGTTCCCAGAGGCTGTTCCAGAAAACCAAGGCAGATGCAACAAGGCTGCTTTTGATGGCCTTGGAAATCACGTAGCCTCACTTCTACCACATCCTATCGTCAACAAGCAAATCACAAAGCCAGCCTAGATTCGAGAGACAGGGACAAGAGCTACACGGGGGCATGAATACAGTTAGGGTGGGGGTGGAAGTCCCCCTGGGGACAAGCCACCACAGCCTCCCTCTGTGCTGGGCAGAAGGACACAGCCTTAAGTCAAGGATGCTGGAAGGGCTGGGAGAAGCCCAAGACCCTTAAACCTCTGACTCGCTGTTCCTAGAACAGGGATCAGAGGATCAGCGACCCCCAGAAGTCTCAACCACCTGAACCTCCAGCTGATTTCACATTCTATTTCAATGCTTTGTGGCAGGCAACAGCTCAAGAAAGATACCACGTTCCAAGCATTTTTAACCACACACTGTGTTCTTACATGCGTACTGTTTCACCCATAGGTGTGACTACTTCCTTTTGGGGAGGTGTGGACCCAGTGTAGAAACGGGTCTCCTCACCTGGCACTGGGCTCCTTCAACCTTCAAACTCCCCAGCCCTCTGACCAGGCCGATCACTGGGACACCGGGCCTGCGAGCCCCACAGCATTTAGAGTGATAGTTCAGGTGGCAGCAGTGCCATTCCCAACACGGGCAGCGCAGTCTCAGCCACAGCCTAAGGGAGGCGGTGGTGGGAGGGCCTGGGCCACTCTGGGAAGGCAGCGGAGACGCAGGTTGCAGACCCTGCCCTTCAGTCAAGGGAGGGAAGGAGGTCTCCAGGGGAACAAGCCACACACGGACTCACAGATGAGAGAACTTCACATGGAAGCACTTACTGCAGAACTGACCGCCCCCTTGAAACATGGGGGCCTTCATTTCTTCTTAATGGAACTCTCTGAAGTGAACACGCTTCATTAGAAAGAACTGGGTTTGAGTCCTTGGCTGGGTCACCCTGGAAAAGTTACAAAAACTCTCTGAATCTCCTTGGTAAAAGGGAAATGTTGTCTGCCCCAGCATTGGAAAGAACCAGTGATGAGATGCATTGCAAGTTCCCAGCACAGCACTTGAAACATAACAAGTAATCAGTAACAAACTTAGGTGTTATTACTGGTTGGTAACCCCAGTACGACATCCAGCCCCCACCCTTTGCCACTCACCGGGGCCCGGTGCAGAAGACCTGCTCTGGATGGACACTGTCCGACAGAAACACCGTGTGAGCCAAATGTATAAATTAAAGTTTTGTAGTAACCTCATTAAAAAAGGTACAAACAGACAGAAAAACCTAATTTTGGTGGTACATTTTATTTTATCCTGTATATCAAAAATATTATTTCTGTATGTCATCACTGTAAAAATTAGTAAATTTTACATTCTTTTCCAAACTAAATCTTCAAAATTGGTGTGTACTTACAACACACCTGGATTTGCACCCGCCCCCACTTCAGTGCTCAGAGGCCACACGTGCCCTGGCTGTGCAGAGCAGTCTAGAGCGAGGAGTTGGGTGCCCCCCCTCACACTGACAGATGAGCGGCCTGGATGTTGGTAGAAGTCTAGGCCCATGTTTAAGATGAAAGAACTCCCTCCCCAAGGATGACAACCTTTTCCACAATACCCTCTTGCCGGGGTTAAAGAGAAGAGAGAGGCAAATTACCAATAAGTAAAAAAATAAATGGTTTATTTTTCTTGTAGCCATAGCAGATTAATAACAATACACAATCATACAGAACCTTGCCTCTCTCGGCAGAAAGCACACTCTTTATTTCTACAAATGAAAAAACAAAACACCCTGGCTTTGATTTGCAGGCAACAAGGCCTCGGGTAATCAGGATCCAGAGAGGACATGACCAAGGGGATCATTTCAGGTAACCAGGAGTGCTGGGGTAACCTGGAGATTGCCCATCCAGGGGCCCTGAGGCCCCGAGAGCTGCAGGAGGTGACAGTAATGTGGCTCCAATGCCCAGGGCCAGGCCCCGGTTTTACAGACCTCTAGGCTCACCGCCCATTCAGAGCTGAGCATGTGAGCTTGGGCATAAGAGATGGCCGTTGAAAGTTGAAGAAAAAACCCAAGAGGTAGAAGTTGAAGGAAACAGGATGAAATATGGAAGAAACACCTTATTTATACTCTGCTTCTTGCTGATGTCAAAGTAAAAACAATGGGGCTCTGGAATATGATTTTTAAAACATCAGGCAAACAAAACCAAGAGCAACAACAATAACAACAACAGCAACAAAAAACCCTGGCTAGAGAGTCTTTAAAAGAAATGCCCACAACTTTTCAAAGTGTTGGAGGTCAGTCCTGCTGGAAGCAGGGGGCTGAGCTTGTGAACGCACATGGTTCCTTCCAGACTTAGGAGTCTCCAGTCGCATGAAGGCCACTCGGAGAGACTGGTATGAGATGACATTCGGACAGGTGCCACGTGCCACACGTGGAAAACAGCTGGCCTCGGTTATACAGAGGGGGTCTTGTGGGAGCAAAAGGACAAGGAAACTTCCAAACCCAAACTTTCTATTTGATCCTCAATCTATAGGAAGTCTGACAACCCAGGCGCAGCGCGAAAGGAAACTCTCTCAGTGCAAAGATCGCTCTGAAGATCTTTACCTAAATGGCAAGCAGAGACCAGGAAAGGACAAGGAAATGCATTTGACGTATGCAAATTCCAGATATTCATTTTCTCTACACATTGGAGGAAACAGGTGGAAAGAACGGCTGCTGACTGAGCTGACCCTGCTCTTCACAGGACAGAGGATGGACCAGGCTCACTTCCTAGGTGCTGGGGGGGCCTCTCCATCCACGACGAGCCTGGGGGCGTCCAACACTCCAGGGCCTGGCCCCTGCCTGGAGAAGACTCACGAAATTCATTATCGCCTCCATCTCAAAATGACCGAAAGTGACACCTGGCAGAGTGGTAAGGTATTCAAAAAACCTACTCTGAAGAGAAGTATTTGGAGTTAGATGTTATTTTCTTAAACCTCTACTGTGGGTTCACAATCAAATAACCATTTCATGCAAACTCATTTCTTTCGATTCTCATAGAGGCAAGGTTTCGAGTTTTAATCCAATTTTTAATCAGGCCTGAAAAATACACTTCAGTGTTCAGTGATTTGCAACTTACTCTAAGATATTGGTAATCACTAGATGAGTTAAAAGCTTTAAGGAATATAAATATAAATGTGCACATACCCATATGTTAAAGGGCTGTTTCTTTTTTCACCTGCTCAAGGAGGGCATCATCAGTGCTTATGAACCCTATTCCCTCTGGTGATCATTTAGTATCAAGTTAATTGAATGGCAGGCAAAAAAAAGAAGTGTGCAGAATTTAATACAGCACAACGCAACAGAACACAGGACCACAAGAGGACCTCAGCACTCACTCTAGAGTAACGCCGTCCTTGCTGGCTCCATACCCCACCGAGTGGGAGACCTCCTGAGGAATTCGCGTGAGTGGTGAGCGAGGGCTCTAGACAAGCCAGCGTGAGAGCAAGGAAAGGACATCCCCAGGAGGCTCCCAAGATGTAAAAACATAAAACAAAACAAAAAACTCGACCACATACCGTGGGCTGCCACCACGGAGCGAAAGCAGTGTTTGGTGATGGCTGTTTAATGAGGAGGCCTGTGCACCAGCCGAGGTGAGTGGAGCCGGCCCCCTCCCAGGGGAAGTCCTGCATCTGTTTCTGCGTGACCCGGAACAGCATGGCTCTAGCAAACCTCTCAAAGAGGGAAGACACAACATCATTCTCTGCGGAGGCCCAAGGCTCTGAGAATGTTCCTGACGCAGTGAGAAGCAGTGGTCTCCCCATCCTGGCTTTCTTCTTTCTAACACATTCAGCACGGACCTCTGCAGCCTGCGGCTGTCCTCTCCAGTGGGCAGCCAGTGGCTCTCCTTTTCCTGCGGGCATCTTCAGGCACCCTTCCGCTCTGAGAACACCAGCAAGGCCTCTCCAAGTCCACCGAGCAGGAGGCTGCAAAAGCATCAGGAGGTCAGCTTTCCACTCCCTAGATCCAGGGGGCTGCCTGGCGCCCACATGCAGCAAGGTGAGGGATGCCCCCTCATTCGCCTGCTGGGGCTCTCATCCCACTTAACCAGGTCAGGCCCAGGAACTGCCCAACCTTCCAAAGCAAACCTCAGCCATGTGGAGGGAGGGGAGTTGGCTGCAAGGTGGGGTTTGATCCTTCCCTGGGGGAAGGAGGTGATGTGTCCACTCATCTGACCGGGGAGGTGACTGCCCTTCGGTTAATGCTCTCTGTGCAAATGTTGGAGGGCTTTCCACAGAGCAGCTGGTGCCTTTCGCTAAAGGGCGTTGAAGGCTCCGAAATCATGCAGGTATCTGTAACCACAGAACTAGTAAGGTGACCGTCTCTGAATCCCTTTGTTCAATTTAGACAAACTGAACATTTGAAGATGAAAATGCTAGTGGGAAATCATGAGTTTCCCACCAGAGCAGAAATAAACACGGTCAGGGGTTTGAAAACGAACAGGGAGTGGGAGAACTGAAGGCTGTGTGCAAACGAAGAGTTGACTATTTTAACACGCCTAACATGTAATACGCTCAACGGTCTGGACATTTTCTGTTTTAAACTTCGCAGACAATCTGGTGTCTGTCTGAATTCCCTGTCATTCTTCCCAAAAAGCACATCTGAGGATGTGGTGACGAATACAGGATTATGACAGAAAGGGGACCCCCCCACAACGATAAAATGCTGTTGTTCAGAAGAGCCAGGAGCCCTATTAATTCTATCCTTTTCTTCCTTCTACCCACACACAACACACATGCATTCAGGCTACGACACCCTTATTTTTCTACCATTTGTCTGGTGTCCTGAATGTATGAAACACACACAGGCTACGCGCAGCATCTTCCCAGGGATGTCACCTGTGCAGGTGACTCGGACATGCAGATAACTTGTACCATGCACCTCTTTTAGTAGAGGAATGAACTAAGTGTGAGAATATAAACACAATAAACTGGTTTAAATAATGGTACAGGTGTTTTTTACCTGTGTAATCCTGTGCATGTCACTCAGCTTCAGTTTCCTCATCTGTACCACAGGAGAGATCACATCTACCAATCTCTGTGAGGCTTAAGAGGATATACCCGAAGCAATCTACCCCTATGCTTGCCCTATAATGGACAGGTAATACAATATCACTTTCTAGTGGTCTACCCGCCCAGAGCAGCACCAGCCCTCACAGCTGGCTTCCCAACCTCTGCCCGAAGACCTCTAGTGAGAGGCAAAGGCAGCCCGTCCCACTGCTGAGCAGCGCTAGCCTTGGGATTCCAGCGAGGATCGGGGGCCTGCTCACTCGAGGGAGGCCTCAGGCACATGGCTCCTCCCAGCAGGAGGAAGCCCATTCTCTTACCAACCCAATAGCTACTTCTTACAACCTCACCTGAGAGTCCCAGTTCTGCTCTCTGGAGCAACAGAAAACAAACTCTACTCCTTCTGTCAACCCCAGAGTGGGAAAATCCCTGAACCACCAGTGTCTCCTGTCCCTGGTGACGGATACCTCTGGGTGTGGGCAGAGAGCGGTGCGGTCAAGAAGCTGGGCCCTGGGGGAGGGGGCGGGGAGGATATCCGCCCACTCAGGCCGACAACTGGGATGGGAAGGGTTGAGGCATGAGAGAAATGTATGCCTAGTGCTGAAGCTCCAAGTCAGAACGTACTTCCCTTTTCCCTACAGAAATAGCACAGCAACAGGAAGTCAGTAACATCTCTTTAACATACATTTAATTTACAATAATAATGTAGGTGAAGCTGGTGTCTACATTATGAACCAAATAAACTTCCAAAGACTTTTTTAGATCTACAATCATCGTTTACAGGGTTGTTTCTATGCAAAGCTGGGGTCCACGTTCCAAAAGACCGTATCTTGAAACACAACGCATCTGTGCCTGTGCCTTGTCTAAGTCAGGATGCAGACGCTGGAGGATTTGTTCTTGTGAAGGGGAAGCCACAGACACTTTTCCTTTCAGGCAGGTCTGCCATTCCCTTCGACAGCCCTGAAATGGTGTGTCCACCATAGACTGTTGTCCTAAACACCAGGGCAAGCGCAGAGTCGTCGTGACCTAAGGAAAGGGCTGCAGAGTTTGGGGTTTGGGAGAGTTTTACTTCTGCAAGTGTGACAGGTGGGGGGCTCCCTGTTTTCTACAGTTCCCACTAATCCTCCTTAATCACCAGGGAGAATAACAGGCCAACCGCTGGCTCTTCACCACTTCCACTCCCCCAGCTTTAGAACATGCTGAAGTGTAATAACCGTGCATTTCATCCCTTTGGCTTAGCTAGTTTCTGAAACACCAAAGCAGCTTAGTGAATGCTAAAATGAAAACAAACCTTGGTTCAGTTTACTGTTAGAAGAGCCAGGGAGGTGAGCTTTGATGTTGTTTTCCAAACAGCAGGAGAAGCTGACATGGGGTGCAGGAATCTTAATGGCATTACAACTATTTAAGTCAGAGCTTTACTGAACTGTTTGCAAATCCTGTAATCCCCATCATTCCCAAAATGAACAAACTTCATGTAACTAAGGCATAAACATCAGATTGCAGAGCATACCCAGCCAGAAATATTCATCACTTGCTTCTCTTCCAGGCGGTTATTTTCAGTGTCTCTCCAGTCCTCCTCTTTCCTCTCATCAGGAGCCAAAGGCCCCATCTCAATTTTACATTTATTTATTATTGTGGTTATTCGATGAATTCCAACCGAACACACCAGACAGAGGACAGAGACTCTATCCTTTTCCCAGCTGTATGCCCAGCACTTAATGTAGCACCCGATAAATATTTACTCAATGAACGATGTGTGGATGCGAAAAACGGCTACGTAATGAACCCGACAAGCTTGGGGCAGGGGCCAGGGGTACATGGCAAGCCTGACAAGCTCAGTGACCAAAAGCAACCATGCAGGATGCTCTGATTCCTAAATGGGCAGGTCATGGGGGTAGTCATGTCCCGAGCCTACAGTCTCCTTAGCAAAGGTCAATCTTTACCTTAAGTGAGCTCTGTCCATTATCTTATGCATCTAGGATCACACACCTTTGAAACGTCAGGGTAATTTTCTTGTCTAGACCCGCTGAAGGCACAACTGCTGGCACCAGAGCAGGAGACCACCGAACCCCTCATTGCTGTCTGGTTCCCCAGTACCACCTCTGTGTGCTGCAAATGTCCATTAACTACCCTACATCCCCCAATGGAAAAGAAGTACGTTACTCCATCTCGCTCTCTAGCTAATCCTGGAAACTTCCCTGAGTTGCTCTCTCCTGCCTCCTTAGTCTATCATCAGTTGATTTCAGGTACCTTCCTTATGTTTCTTCCTTGGATTCTAATGCATGAAAGGAACTGGAAAACTGCCATTCTCCGGAGCATTTCCTCAGTCCCCTGAGATCCTGCTTCTACGCATGTCCTCAAAATTTGGCTCAAATAAACTCTTATGAGACTTTTCTATAGGTTTGGAAGTTCTTTTGTCAACAGACGGAATTCTTATACTTGTTCTTCCTTCTCCCATCTATATTTCAAACTATTTTTGTTTTTTCCTCTTTTCCTCACCAAAATGTATTGGCCTAAAATAATGTGCCATTCTCTCGGGGATGTACTGAGTGACAGTTCATAACCTGATGAAGTACTCTTGAGAGGTAATAAGAAATAGTTATTTAGAATGCCCTTCTTAGCTTTTTAAAGACAAGGTTTCAAATTTTTAATTCAAATGGAAAACTAAAATTTCAGATGCTGTGATCCTAGATGCGTTTTGTTCCTTTTCCACCCCTAAATTCATTCGTCCTATAAATAGTCTTGGGCAGTCTCTATGCAGTCCCCTAAAATGAAAGGTAGAAGACCACTTTACTCAAAGATGATATAAGGTCATTTTCTAAAGACTCTTGGTGTTAGTGAGGTTTGTGCCAGGATAGAGTTCAAGTGATCCTCATATTGATAACCCATGATCAATGGCAGGGTCGGTTGAATGACTGGCGAGGTTAGATCGATTGCGGAATCCTGGGAACAAAGTGGTTGTGTTCTGGTCATTCCCTTCTCTCCTTGTCCCTGACCCATTCCACAGACAAGAGTGACCCTCTAGACTGAAAAGGATTCCAAGAGGAGGCACACACGACTCATTCTACTTGACAGGGACACTGCTCACGATTCGAAACTGTTCTCCTTCCTTTTGTATGTACCAAATCCTCTTTGCTGACACTTTGAAAGAGGGAATTCATATTGATACATACCATAACACTCTGTTAATTAAAAAGGAGTAATTAAACATTAATCTAGATATTGAAATTACTGGGCTTGCCCTAGATTGTTTTTATAAAATCAAAAACAAGATCATTAGCTGGATAAGAGCAGTTGCTTTTACTTAAAGATGCTAAAAGACCCAAATCAGGCACTTAAATTTATCATTTTTCCTGGGTATATATTTAGAAGGCTGGCCACTCGTTTATTCAGCAAGCACTTGGTACTTTTGGAGACACGCAGAGGTGAACAAAACACGGTTCTTCTCCTGAAGGTGCTCACGGGGTCATCCTGAGTCAGCGGAGGCGGGAGCCACAGAGCAGCCTCCACCCATTCCAGCAACTGCTGCCTGGGGAGGTGCAGGCCCAACCTAACAGCTCTTCCACACTTTCAAAAGATTGTGGAGATCTGGATTTTTATGGAAAAATCCACCTGATTTCTAAATGTTGACCAATTAAAAATTTGAAAGGCAAAACACAGGGAACAATAACTACCCAGGCAAACAAAACAGGCCCGCAGCCCTGGCCCTTTGGACTGACCTAAACTCCCACAAGACAGGGAGCAGCCCCGCCCTTGCCCAGGGGCTGAGAGCTAGTCACCCAGTCTCAGCTTAAAAAACAACCAGTCTACGGATAATGCAGACCAGCTCTGTGTAAGACAGAAAATCTGAAATACAGTCTGACACTCCTCTTCTGGTGGTTCACTTTGTGGTTGGAAAATTCTTGGAGGCTGAAAACACGCCATCCTTAAACTCAAGCGTTCTCAAAAATCAGGAAATTCCAAAGTCAAGGTTCCTTTTGCAATAATCACACATTGCTGTTGCCTTGATTTGGGTGCAAACAGCCTTGCTCTCCATTTTGTTCGGGACATTCCATCAAGTTCACAGGATGTGACACAACCCAGAGATGCGGCCTCTCACAGGCCGCTGCCGAACGCTCGGCCCTGGCGTTTCCTCCGCACGCAGCGCCCTCTCCCGCTCACTTCTCACACCCAGCTCCACATCTGGGCTGGGCTGGGTTTGGTTTTGTTTTGTTTTGTTTTAGCTCATTCAGTAATGCTGTACAAAAGGTGGGAGATGAAGATCTATTTGTAAGAAAGAAAACTACTGTCAAGAATGTAGACTATTACTTACGAAGGTTAAGACACAGAAATTTGGGGAAGAGCAGTTTCAAGAATGTACCACAATATCTTGACAGTTGAGTTTTTGGACGTCACTGCCCAACATTTGCGCCACGACTTCGAAGAAGGACAGATGAAGAGGAAGAGGAGGGGAGCGTAGGATTAGCTCCCTGCTGCTGCCGCTCAGCCCCGGCTCTGCTTATAAATCACTGTCTCACCATCAGCACCTCCTGCCCCTCCTTCTTTCCCTGCCTTCCTGGGGCCAAAGGAGCCAAATCTTCCACCCACAGCCTGGCTAAGCCTCTCCCTTCTACATAAGGTCCATTTTCAAGTCAGTTCCAAGACCTTGGTCATCCCGCGTTCTCTCCCGGCTTCAGTCTTCACACTTATTGTGCATTCAAACAGTTACTACCCTACCCCACAAATGACCTTTATGACTTCTCCTTCCCCTGAAAACTCCGTGAGGGTTGGGTGATGAGATCTTTTTCCTAGAAATGTTCTACTGGAATTCTTAGTCTACCAGGTCAACCCTGAACCAGAAATGGAGCCGTCTTGTCTTAGGTAGCACTGCTTCTCTATGCTGTCAGATTATCTAAATGCTCTTTATAGATGACCACACTGGTAGAAAAAGGAACATTTAGGCCAATTTTTCTTCTACCTTGCTTATTACCTGCTTCTACCAGACACTAACTGCATTGCCGGTAAATCCTTGGTGTTTCCCAAATCAGTTCCAGAAGGGTATATGGCAGGTTATAGGGCCCTGGACACATAGACTTCAGTTTGAATCCTGGTCCAAAGGATTCAAATAATCAAAAGATGATTTTATAATCACCTAGTAGTTATAAAATCTTGGAGAAAAGTCACTTAAATGTCTCTGAAGCTCAGCTTCTTTGTCTTTAAAATAGGAATAACTTGGAGGGTTGTGGTGAAACTCAATGAGATAATAATGTAAAAATGCCTGAAACATAGAGTTGCTCAATAAATGGTTAGTTATTATTATCAAAAGGAAGTTAAGATCAAGAAGAGAGAAAAGAGGAAGAGGGTATGGACGTATTTCCTGATTTTTTTTTCCATTTTTCTTCTTGGATCCGGAAATGACCCCATTAGGGTCTCCCAAGAAAGGGTGCGAGTCCTTTTTTCTGAATTCTATGAGCCAGAAGGTTCATTTCCGTCAGCCTGGGGTGGTTCAGATCCGGACGTGCCCTCGGGTAGGAGGATGAGCAGCTACAGGCACCAGGGGGGCAATGATTTTTACTTTAATCCAAGAACAGTTCCTGAGACATATCAGACCCTCAATACATACCTGTTTGTTGAATGAACACCTTCCAGCTCAAAGCCGCATGGGATGCGGAGCTGCCTCCTGGACTTCCTCCTCACGATACCCACAGAGTGGGTCATACCCACTGGTCCTACCTCTCACTTGCCCTGCAGGAATCTGCTACTGATGTTTAAAAATAACCCTGCAGTTTCTGTGGCTGTGACACACACAGCAGGGGCTTATTCACAAGAAATCCTGGGAGCCCAGAGGCCGCCACGGACACACCAGGCCCCAGCGCCAGCCCTCACCAAGCAGCACTGAGGCCTCGAGTCCAACAGGTGACGATTCTGCAGGTCCAACTTGCAGACAAATGCAAAAAAGGGGGAATCAGCTCTCAGAACTGCTCTGATCCCAAGTGTGAAAAAAATACTAATTTTCTAAAATCACGTCTCAGTGGAGCAAAGCTAATCAACAATGTGCACTTTCTTTCCCTAACACCGGTAGAGAAATGTAAAAACCAATTCGAAACTTGTCTATACTTCAGTTTTGAAGTGCCACTCTAGTGGGTGGGAGTTGGTGGGGGAACCTGCCAAACAATATCTCAAAACTGGAATGGAAACAAGCGCTATCTTCAAGTGGCCCTAGGCTTGTTTTTCTTTCTAAAACCAAGGATAGGAGACAGTAAGCAGCCACAGAAATATGAACAACCCTCCGTAATGTACCGCATTAGTGATTCAGGCCAGGCGGTCGGCGGCCGTGGTCACAGGGGAAGGACAGCTGCGTGTCCCCAGGCCAGCAGGCCGCAGGCGGGGCAAAGACACAGCGAGGGCTAACCCGCTCCTGGGTGACCAGGAGAGCACCGCTCCGCGTGGTTTCCTTCTGGAGACAGCAGAGCCCACCTCACTGGCATGTACGTCCTTGCGTCAAACACTCCGTTTCTCCCACAGTTAAACCAAACTGTTATGACTTCTACAAATGGTGACAGTGGGAGTGGGAGACGGCAGCCCTTCACTTTTACTCAGTGCCTGTCTGCATTGTTTTAAACATCTCAGAAATAGCACGTATCACCATACAGTTGAAAAACACAGTATATTCCCCCAAATGAGCAGTTTTCACACTTGGAACTTGCCGTGACTCCCCCTTCACCTCCCTCTCCCCTGCCGATGACAACCAGCGGTCTTGGTAAGGACGGCACTGACCGGTCTGCAGTACCACTCTGGGGCCAGTGACACTCTGGGTAGATCGGCCTTAAACTGGTCAGCTCGCCAGTGAGCAGAGTCTGCATGAGAGTTCAGAGGTGGGACGCACGGGGTCACCTCATGCCATGCCCAGCAGGGCTGTGACCACCTGGCCCTGCAGAACCACTAGAGGCCCGGGGCCCTGACAAGCCCAAAGGACCTATTGTCACAAAAGGGAGAGCTCCTAGGTCTGTTTTTATTTTCTTAATCCTCACCTGAGGATATGTTTCTATTGACTTTAGAGAGAGAGGAAGGGTGGGGTGAGAGAGAGAGAGAGAAACATCGATGTGACAAAGAAAAAACAATCAGTTCCCTTCTGTGCATGCCTTGACCAGGGATTGAACCCGTAACCTAAGTATGTACCCTGACTGGGATTTGAACCCACAACCTTTTGGTGTATGGGACAGTGCTCCAACCAACTGAGCCACCCAGCCAGGGCTCCACAGTCTGTTCTTAAAGAACAAGACAAGGAGCTCCAGTTGGGCTATGCTGCTATGGCAGTAATGCATTCGAGCAGCTTCCACACATTCTTGTTACTAGTGAGCCAATTGCCCCTTGTGAGTCACAGGCTCTGAGGTTATCCTGCAGGGTCGTGTGGCCTTTTCTCGGAGGTGTGATGTAAAGTTACCATCACAGGCACCACCTCCACCCCCTGGGGATCCTCTCCCCAGCCACCGTTCCACGCAGCTGCTTCAGCCACCCTTCTAAAGTGGCCACGCGCTCAAGTCAGCCACCGTTGAACGCCCTTCACCAGCTCTCTCCTGTATCCAGCGTGGGGCACTAAGCAGACCACAAACATCAGAGCAATGGATGAGCAAGGTGACAACTGTCAGAACTGCCAGGAAGGGAAGAAACAAGGCGACAGGAAGTAGCCAGGGGACTTTACACAGAACATGGTCAGGGGAGGCCTTTCTCAGGTTGCCTGGATATACAGACCTGGAGGGTGAAAAGCTGGTGGACACCAGCAAAACACTCCAGGCAGGTGTGTGTACACCATGGACAAAGCACAGAAATGCTCTCCTGACTGACCTCTGGACTAGTTTAGTTACCTACCCACTGATATTTGGACTCTCAGGTGTAATGATTACCTCAACCTTAATATATCCAAACCCACTCCTAATTCTCCTCCCCGACCAAATTGCAAAACCCTGCTCCTCACATATTATTATTCCCCATCTCAGTGAGAGGCAACTGCATTTTTCCACTGCTCGGGCCAAAATCATAGACGTCATCCCAGACTCCTCTTTTTCTCTCAAAACTCTCTGCCTTTACTCTCAGTACACTGCAGGCACCCTACCATTTCCATTGCCGTCAGTCCGGTCTTAGCCAGCTTGGACCTAGATCATTGCCAGAGCCCTTGTTTGGTCTTCCGCCCGCCTGCTCTACCATACAGCCCCCACACAGCAGACAGAGGCATGTGTGGCTCAGAGCCCTCTGACCACATCCACTCTCACTCGAGGTTAAGCCAAGCCCTTACAATGACCTTTAAGGCCCTTGGGGTAAGCTACCAACGACCTCTCTAGCTTCATCTCCTGCGACTCTCCCTCTTGTCCCACTGCTCTGGTAGCATCGCTCTTCAGACAGACCTAGACTCCCGCCCAGGGCCTTTGTATTCGCTGTTCCCCTAAACTGCCCCATGACCCACTTCTTCACTTCCTTCAGGTTTCTGTTCAAATATCAGAGACAGAGGCGGTGCTATCTTTGAGCAGATGGGTGAGGGGTGTGTTCCAAACAAGAATGATCTGGAGTTTGTCCAAGAGAAAAGGAATTGAAGGATTAAAGAAAAAACCCAAATGTAGCCATATACATAAAACGGGTTCACCAGTAGTGGTCACCCTTGTGTGGATGAGGGGCTGGGAGGTGTACTGGTCATGTCCTGGGGTTTTTCTGTATGGCATACTCAGCTGCGGAAAGTCATCGAGTTGTATATTCATAATGCATGCACTCTTCTGAATGCATATTTAAAGGCCAATAAAATATAAACCCAACACACAGAGCCCTTCTTCAACATTTGAGAGCAAAAAATAGTATCCTGATGAAACCCAACAACTAATTTTCATTTTCTCTCCCTATGTAAATAGACTTACCATCCCACCGTCGCGCTGGTCAGGACCATATCAAACAGCAGTATGGATACACCAGCTGTGATCACCTGCAGAAACAGTTCCAACAAAAGGTCACCAGAGTGGTAGGGCTTTGGTAACCGCCTCTAAAGCCATTTTTCACAAGCTCAGCTCATGTTAGCTCAGATCCCCAACATTAACATTTCTTTCCACTTCACAGCCTTCTCCCCACACTTCCTAGTTCGCTGTATTTACTGTTGCCTCTGAGCCAAGTGTGCAGTGTGGAAAATGTTAAGTCCTAGTCTATTTTGGAGGTGGGAATCTTCAAAGAAGTATTTCATTTCCAAACCCTTCAAAAGAAGAGGCGCAGGGCCAACATCTCACTCATCTCCCTCCAGGGCAGGGCGCAGTAAGAACACTTATTTCCATCTTCTCTCAGCCTGTGTGGAATTAATTCCTAAGGTCAGTGGTGCTCATTAACCTGTTCCCAGTTCCTCCAGATAAAAACTATCTGTCAACCTGCCTTTGCCTACAGCACTGCCCTTCCACTGTCCTTCCCCTGTCCTAATACCTTGGTCTTTTTGGCCTATGTCGCATATTCTGAGAAACCAGGTGCTACCTGGGGAAGAGAGCAATTAAATCATTAATTATTTGTGAATATCTAGAAGATAGGGGGTGGAGTGGTGGGGGAGAGGTTCCTCCCACCTTTCTGAACTAGAAATTACAGAAAAGTATCTTCGGAGTGTCGGTCACAGGACTTCGGCACTATCTCTCAACTGTTGGCGCAGAGAATGTATGTGAACCAAAGACCCAATTTTGCCAACACTTAGAACGTCTGCTCAAGAGAAGATTTTTTTTTTAACCAAGACTTCTGCATTCTGGAATACCAAACAGCTTCCACTGGGAAGGTCACCCTGAGGACTGACTGGCTTTTGTGCAAAAAGGAGTAAGAAGCAGGCTGCACTGGGACGGGTCACTCAGGCTAGGTGCCCTCAGAAATGCCAGCTACCGCCTCACTCACAGGGACGTCACGTGCTGTCAGAGAGGTCTCTTAGGTCTCCATGCGAGAGGACAGACAGAAGGAAGGAGAATGTTTGCGGAGTCTTGTCGTCATTCATTTACCACCTCAGAAAGAAGTCTCGAAGTATAAACCAGGAACTCTGGGTGGGTAAACTCTGTGTGATTTGGAGCCTTTGTAGTTTACCCATTTGGGGTCACTCTCTGTTTGCTTCCCTTCACTGATCTGCAGCCCAAAACTTTGACAACAAAAAAGACCTGTGTTGTCTTCAGGAACAAAAAAGAAGTGGCAACAAGGTCAGAGAGTCAATTGCAAAGCAGAGCCCAAAGGATGAAAAAAGAAAATTTTCAAAAATACTGGGTGATGGGCTTCATCTCAGAAAGCATAATGAATGGCACCTGTCCCCCCACCCCACCCCTTTTTGGTTTATTTAGGACCTTTGCATCTATGGTATAGATAAAGTGGGCCTAAAGTTTTATTATAATGAAATGCAACCGTCGGGTTTTGGAAACAAGGGTTAACTAACCACATAAGTTAGTTCATCAGCTTCCCTTATTTCCCCGTAAAGGGTGAAAATGATCTTTACCACAGAAGCTTCTGGTTGGCAGCGATTGTTGATAGCCACTATCCTAATCAAGTCCTCTCTTTATTTTTATTCCAGTTTGCCATTTTCAGTTTTTCCAAACCTAAATTTCATCTAGGTTTTCCAACTTACTACATTTAGCCATCTAGAAAAATCTTATCTTTAGCTCACTTGTACCATTTTTAGCACCTTTCCTTTTATTCTTATTTTAATTGTTATTTTACCCTTCTTTTCCCCCAGTTTCCTTAATCTTAACCAAAGTTAATCTTATTAACCCCACACTACTTTGGAAACTGCTTGGACATTTCCTGGGATGGTGCTAGTACAGATGTGTTTCTTGGACTTGCAGAAGAAGGCTCCATCCTACTGAAGGATGTTAGAGATGTTGGAAGCCTGGGGTAACGGGATACTTCACTCAATTTCTGAAAGTGTTCCTAATTGTTCCTAATTCTTCACCATTATCCTATCTCCTTTGCTCCTTTTTACCAGCTCCTTTTTCTTTTTTCCCCCCAACTTTGTGGAGGAATACTTGACAAAGATAACTGTATATCTTTAAATATATGTGATTAGGACAATGTGATGACTTGCTACACATATATATTCAAGACCTTTTTTGATCGGTTTCTCTCATGATTCTCTGATTGGCTCTTTCATGACTTTCAGTCCAGTTTGTGAAGCTCACGCTCCCCAACGCCCTGAACAGGCACAGCCTAGGACTTGTGCTTCTGTTCCTCTGTGAGTTTCTTTAGCACAGGGAAACCTCATCTGCCGTGAGACAGACAGCTGGCCTGCTTGTACCTACTGACTGCACCTTTGGCCAAGAAAAACACAACTTAAAATTTTCAGACCAGCCCTTACTTGAAAATAAGATTGGTTTAGTAGTCACACTGGTGCCTTTGCCATCCATTGCTCCCTGGAAATGTTTACATAGTCTCCTGACTTCCTCCCAGGCCACTTTTTCAAACTTCTCTAAATTTTTCTCTCTCAATGAGCAAATGCTCTGCTGTCTGATTCACTGAAACTGCACAAATAGGTTTGTCTTATTTCCATAGAGAATGTACAGTGATTTGTCTGCACTGTGCAGCTCCTGTGGAGTTAGATGGGCCATCTTGTAATCTATTTCAGCAAGAACTCGTGGTTTCTTAGGCTTCTCTACTGTATTTCCATTGCCTGCGCTAGCAGTCAGCTCTTTTTTGGATCCCCCCCCCATCTCTCTCTCACACACACACACAGCCACCCAAGTTCTACCACATAAGAATGAGCAGCAGCCAACAACATCTTGCTGAGGGGCAGCTGGTCAGCCAACTTGCCCACTTAGTGACTTATACTCACACCCACTCACTGTATGTGAGGTTCAAATTCATGCCTCAGAAAAGTGACAGATTTCTATGAGCCATAGCAGGCTGTCAGGGTTGCTCAAGAGAACTCAAAGGTGCGAATGATAAACCTCCACATGTCAAGAGCCACTCCATTTCTAATTCCACTGAGGAACAAACAAAAGCCAGAGGAGGCTGGGTGTGAAAGTCTGGGTACAGAATGTCTCATGCACAGTCACCTGAGGGTGGAGCTGAGAGGAGGAAGGGACTCCCTAAGCTCAGAGGTGGGGAAACTGCAAGCCAGAGATGGTGTGTGATTTGCTCCAGCGGCCTGGCTTCTTCATGCAGCGAGCAGTCGAACAAAGGCCCCAACTCCCAGGTCAGCCTTCTCTCACAGCCAGAAACTCCTGGGTCTACTGAGCTGCATGCAGCCTTTTGGTGGGGGAAATAACTCACTGTAAACAGGGACTCAAACGGGTACTTGCAAACCCCTGTTCATAGCAGCAACACATAAGCCAAAATGTGGAGTAACCCAAGAATCCATCAAAGGATGAATGGACAAGCAAAAGGTGAAGTATATGCACAATGGGATATTATTCAGCCTTAAAAAGGAAGGGAATTCTGCAATATGCTTCAACATAAATGAACTTTGAGGACATTATGCTAAGTGAATTAAGAAAGACACAAGACAATCCCTGCATGATTCCACCCACATGAGATACCTAGAGCAGGCAAACTTAGAGAAGGTAGAATCGAGGTTGCCAGGGCTGGGAAGGAGGGGGAGTTCGTGTGTGATGGGTGTAGAGTTTCAGCTGGGGATGATGGACATTCATTTCTGGAGATGGGTGTCAGTAAAAGCATGAACTTTCTTTTTAAACCTTTAAATGGCTAAAATCTGTTCATGAAAAAGGCTTCAATTACTCTTAGGACTTGACATTCAAGAGACACAAAAGTAGCAGTCATTACTACAAATTGTTCTTGCTTACATAAAGCACTTTTTTAAAAACACAAACTTTTCTCCAAAGAAGAAAGAGCTTTGCGGTCTGAGGAATGTCTCCTTCGCACACGCAGATCTGAATAACAAACAACAGGGCCCGCCATGGGCGCGGGTGCCAACAACGCAGAACAAAATTCATTGTGTCTGCAGTGGGGCTTTGAACCTCCTGGCTTTGTCAACGGATGCCACAACCTCTGTGTTATTCAAACAGAGTTTGGTATTTAAAGCAGGTCGGGTTTGTTTTTTAAACATTCATTTCAATCCTAAAACAAATTTTCTGTTTGTTTAAAAGAAAATACGGGGGAGTGGATGTTAATGGGAACCTGCCAGATAGTCATGTCTTTGGGGGAGAATCAGAGATTCTGGCCTGTTATTTGGTGCTAAATTTTTTGTTTGTTGTTTTAAATGCATATGAGTTTCTTTCCAAAGTGACTGCAGCATGCACAGCGGCCCCTTCCCTGTAACTGCCTCAGTTAGAGCCCTGGCCTCCCCGGCTTTGACCGGCTGAAACGTTTCAGACAGTTCCATACCATCGTCTTGCTTTTGCTCAGCAAGTTCTCTCTGCCTAAAATAATTTCATAGACCTCCCCAGGTAATTCCGACTCACCTTTTGAAAATCCTTCTCTAGAAAACTTCTCCTGAACCTGGCCTACCCACACATCGAGGGGATCAGGCACTCCTGGGGCCTCCCATGACTACCTGGCATTGCACGTGCCAACCACTGACTGGTGTGCCCCTCCCCCGGATGGGGGGGTGCACTATCCATCTCTGTGTGTTCGGGCCTACAAACAGGCAGTTGTACACGGTAAGTGACTAATGGTTGCATAAGCCCAAAGGTCACAGTATTGTTTATTTTAAAATTCCTTTTCATGCATTAGGGATCCTTGGAGCCTAGACCTGAGAACTATGGGGACACTCTCTCTGCCCCTAATCTCTGTTTCTTTGACCATCACCTCCATGGGGCTAGAAAGAGCTTCACAGAGAAGATGGAGACGATCTTTCTGGTTCCTAGTCTAAAATGCCAGGGAAGATTCTGATTGGCTCCTGGACCAACCAATCGTAGCCTGGGAGGCAGAGTCATGTAAGAACATAGAAACTGACCCCTTAGCTTCATGGTTGGAATGGAGAAGGGAACATTTCCCTGGAGCAAGGCAGGGGAAGTGCTAGGCAGCCAG